CACGACCGCTGCAACGGCGCGCCTTCTGACACGTTAGTAGGCAGCCCCTTCGAATCAATGCCAAAGGTAGTCGTGCGGTCCTCACCGTCGTCGGTATACGGTACCCATAGCGAGGCTTCAATGTCGTTGATGATGGCCGGCTTGGGCGGCAGGTGAGGGAAGCACGAGCACTGCGGCAGCGAGCCGGTGGCCAGAGACCATGCGCTGAGAGGGACGAGGGCGGGTCAGCGAGTTTGCTTCTCCTGGCAAGGGAGGCACGTTTTGGATATACGGTTCTGTACTCACTGATCCAGGGCAAAGGCGCCCCAAAAGGTGGCGGACTGGACGGCGAGCTCGTCCTCGTCGTCGTCGTCGTGGATGCGATGCAGGCCCATCTCGACGGCCAGGCGTATGCTTTGCCCCGCGTAGTACCAGCTCTCCGAGTCCCGGCCGCAGCTGGCCTCGCGGATGGACATGATGCCCAGGGCCTGGATGGTGGTGAGGGAGTGGTGGTCCGTCTCCTCGTGGAAGAGGCGCTGGCACTCCTTGAAGAAGTGGTCGCCGGAGGAGTAGGGGTCGTTTGGGTTGGCCCTGGTCATGGGCTGGGTGGAGAAGCGGCAGCCGAGGGCGAGCAGGGCGTTGACGAGTATGGGGGAGCAGTAGCGGTGCCTGCCGGCCTGGAAGTCGCGCAAAAAGTGCTCCTTGCTGAGCGAGGCAAAGGTGGGATACTCCCAGCAGAAGTAGAGGGCCAGCAGGTGCTGCACCAGGTTGATGTCGTCGGTGATGGTGGTCCAGGTGCCGCTGGGGGCTTTCATGGCCTGGGTCTCGTTGAGCGGCGACAGCACCTGCTCGAGCCCGCGGTAGCGCGGCATGCCGTCGCCGCCGCCGCCGCCGCCGCCGGGCCCGAGGTGGTCCGTCTGCATGCTCTCGGCCCAGGAGCCGACGCGCGACGGCGGCGCGCCCATGTCGGCGGCGGCCCAGCTCATCAGGTCCGGGTGGGAGCCGCTCCGGGTCGAGCCGGCCTGGCTCTGCGACGAGAACTGCCAGGGGCTGGGCGCGCTGCCCGGCAGCTCGCCGGACAGGCCCGGTATGGAGAGGGACCCCGGGCCGATGCCGAGGGCCATGCCCGGCAGCGGCGCCACCGAGGCGTCGCCAAAGGCGGCCATGGAGGCCATGTCGTGGCCCATGCTGGGGTCGTAGGCCGAGGCCTCGGGAGGAGGCGCGGAGGGATGGGGGACGTTGGCTAGCCACTCGGAGATGCTCTCGACGGACTGGCCGCCGCGCAGGCGCGCCAGCACCTCCTCCCACAGCTGGGGCTGTATCAGGGCGGCGAAGACCTGGTCGGAGGAGCGCTGCCGCAGGCGCAGGTTCTCGATTTCGTTACGGAGGTGTTCCTTGGACTGGCGGATGGGGATTTCGTATATGCATTCGACGTCCTTTTGCGCCTTGCAGCGCCCGCAGGGTTTCTGGCCGTCGCACTACATGAGAGACACACGCGCATAGCTGTTAGCGATCAATTCGTTTCCGTGCCCATGGAAGGACATGAAGGCACATGTAGCAGAAGGGGGACGGTGAGCGGCCGCGGGAGAAGCCATGACTTCGCCATGCACGTGTAAGGTAGTCCAAGCCATGCCTTACCTACACGCACGAGGCCAAAGCGTCTCTCCCGGCCGGTCTCCAGACAGCAGCAAGGCTCACCTTGGCTCGCTTCTTGCGGCATTCCGTGCAGGCATTGGGCGTGACGACGCCCAGGCCGCGCCTGCGCTTGGACAGCTGTAGCAGCGAGTTGGACGTGGACGCCCCAGATGGCGGCGGTTGAGATTGGGATTGCGGCGTCGTGCCGCTGCCAGTGCCGGCGCTGGTGCTCCCGTGGCCGCTCCCCGGGCCGCTCCCCGGGCCGCTCCCAGGGCCGCTCCCAGGGCCCGGCGTCTGGTTGCCGGCGTCCTCTTCCATCGAAGGCGGGCGAGCCGCGAGGGTTCGTTGAGGATGGCGATGCTGAGGTTGGAGGCTGACGGAGGTCTATCGAGGGAGACAGACAGAGGAGAGGAGAGAAGGAGGAGGAGGAGGAGCACGAAGGGGAGGAGGCGAGAGAGAGAGACAGAGAGACAGAGAGACTGAAGAAGTTCGTTCGGGTCGCTTCAGCGGTGCGGAACCAGCGCGGTTCCTGGGCTCGAGATGCGGTAGCTGCAGCCTCGTGGTGGGATAGACATGCTGCGGGGGGGGATCAAGAAAGCAATCCGTCTTGGGCCTTGGGGAGCTCGTGCGAAGGGTTCGCGGGCAGTCGCGCGGCTTGGATATCAGCGTCGGCAAGGCATCGGATGGACAGAAGAGACAGTTTTATACGGTGATGCACCGGGAGATCGACGCGGAGGAGAGCGGGCGATATCTGCAGGTTTCGCAGCAGCGGCGGCAAGGAGCAAAGACACAAGCAAGGAGCAGTGAGCAGCTCCAGCAGCGGCAAGCGGCTCTGAGGCTGGAGGCGCGAAAGGCTTTGAGGCAAGGGAGGGCAAAAAAAAAA